AAATACTTTAGATCCTGGTTTTAGCGCGAGCAGCTACCCTAATACGATATATCTATATCTTGCATGGTTTTAAAACACATAAAGGCGTTAAATCACAAAATTACTCTTCTAAGCTCACTAAATCTAATAAACATATTAGCCACTTCAGAATCTGAGTTGATCAAATTAATAAAATTTTTCGAGAATTACGAACCATTGAGAATACATTACTACGCATTTGTAAACTACCCTAAAATTTGAAAATTTTGATCACATATAGATTTTAAGAGATAATCAATGTTCCCCAAGTTATAATGCGTCATTTCAATAAATTTCTATGTCCAATGAGATACGTCGGGTGTGGGAAGATGGGTTAGCCTGTGGGGAAGATGGGTTAGACGCGTTATCGGTACAGATCAGGGATTCTAAAAAATTTAACTAAAATTTGAATTTCGGGGACCAATTGCTTGGATTTGGTGACAAATTTTTTGCTTAATTCCGCAAATGCGCCGTAATGATTTGCATGAACCCAAAAGATGTCAAAATTGACGATTCCTCAAATAATAAAGGCAAAATTATAAATAATATACCAGAAACCCTGATACAAATAGTAAGACGCATCTACCAATACGCTAACTCCTCATAACACAGTAAAACTGTTTAGTGCTAATAAGAATAGTTTTTTAGTTATTATAGTGTCAGAAGACATACCAAAAATATAATCTTTACATCATGGGACGAGGCTGAAGCATTCTTTTTGGATTACAACGCACCAAATGGTTTTACAGTTGATAAATGCAGAAAAAAGCTTCTAAAACAGGAATACAAAACAGAACTTTCGGTTATGCAAGCATAGCTACGTTCTTGGTATAGCAAATATAATAACTATACATTTAATTGTTAATCTATCCATTTAAAGATTTAAACTGAATTCAAATTCAAAATATATTCGAACTTAATCATTGCTTAGAGGTTTTTTTTGCATATGTTTATAATGGTTATGGGATTTAAATTTCATACAAAAAATGTATAGTGACTAATTTTCAACTTTATCATTTTTTAACTAGATATGATTTTGATCACTGTTCTGAGATAAAATTAGTTTACAACAAAGATTGTATTTATGTCAAAGTTTCTCATATGCTCAGACTCCGGTACTAATATTTTGGATTCATTTAGTTCCGTTAAGCTTTGATTATTGTCTCGTCATTTTTTAAAAATTTCACAGAGTTCATCTGCAGATGGTCGTCTTCCAACATTGTTTCATCAGGTTCACATAACATTGTGGTGCTTCATTGTTAATTTGAGGTCGCAAACCACCAAATATTTGCAATGTTTGATCTAAAACAGCATTTAAATTATAATATAGTAATACAGTTTTGCCGTATAATACTTCCCACATGATCATACTGAAAGAATAAATGTTAGAGGCAATAGTAGATTGTTGCCTGTTTAAAACTTCTGGAGCGATGTAAGGTAAAACACCATAAACTTCATCAGTATGTTTCAGATATTTCATCGAATGGCCCAAGTCTGTAATATACGCGATATGCAAATTATCCTGCAATATGTTATCGCTGTGCAGATCTCGATGAATAATTCCTTGGGAATGAATTGCTTTAATGTCAGAATTTATGTTAAATAACAAATTAGCTTATCTTTCCATTTCACTTTCGATATAGCTTGAAGATTCTGATGCAAAGAACCCATATTTTAATACGAGAATATAGTATCCGTTTTACCTTTTTGTCATTTCATAAATGAAGGGTTTTTGACGACATTATGAAATAAACACTAACTGAAAAGGCTTTTTCTGTACTCAAGTTAGTATACATATCGCATTATATACAATCGCAAAACTATTACTCTAATATTTTCAAACTCATAGGGAATCCAAGATAATTGGTATTTATCATCGTCTAATATCAAGATTGTTATATTATAATCTGATAACTTCATGAAATTGGCTCTTTTCTATTTGAAACCAATAATTAGCTTGCTCCATGACTATTGTTGTTCCAATACCATTTTCTATAACAATATCCGACTTCTAAGCATAATCCATCTCTGCAGACTTTTTAAAATATTCGAATGCTTTTTTTCGACTCCAATTCCTCCTCTATAGCAATTTCCAACAACATGCATTCCTTCTACAAAACCCATTCTGCAGATGTTTTAAAACCATGCAAGATATAGATATATCGTATTAGGGTAGCTGCTCGCGCTAAAACCAGGATCTAAAGTATTT